GCTTGTAGATTTCCAGGATTTCCCCCCACACCATGCCAGCGGCCGATTGTTTGGCACTCTGCTGGCTCTGTACCCTTCCAGGGCCTCCCCCCTACCAAGCCAGCGGCCCCTGGATTGGTACCCTGCTAGGGCCTCCCCACCACTAAGCCCGCGGTCGTCAGCTTGGCACCCCGCCGGCTCGGTACCCTTCCAGCCCACCCCCCATCAAGCCAGCGGCCGCCGGCTTGCTACCCCGCTGGGATGTTACCCTTTCAGGGCACTCGGTACCCTTCCAGGGCTCCCCCCCCTACCAAGTCAGCGGCCGCTTGGCAGCCGCCACTTTAGTACCCTTCAGGGCTTCCCTCTCCAGGCCAGCGGCCGCGGGCTTGGTCTCCCGCCGGCTTGCTACCCCTCTCGAGACTTTAGTGTCCTGCCCGACTGACCTGACCTGCCCGTCCGAGTAACAGTCATTTTGCAAGGTGTTCCGCACTTTAATGCTCCGTCCAGCCCGACCCGCCCGCCCGAGAGGCCGTCCTTTTCAATGGGGATCTACATATTAAAGTCCCGCCGCCCGACCCAACTCAGTCCATCGAGTAGTGGTCTTCCTCAATGCGGCCCTACACCTTGATGTCCCGCCCGCCCGACCCAACCCGCCCGAGTAGCGGTCATTGTCCATGGGGTCTCGCATTTCAATGCTCCGTCCAGCCCTACCCGCCCAGAGGCCTGTAGTGCAGTTCATGATGTGCAAATCGGTGTGGTTCCATGCGCGTGGTTCTGCAATCTGTGTTGTACAAGATGTCTTGTGCAAATTATGTTGTGCAATTTATGTTCTGCAATTTATGATGTGCAATCGATGCGGTACAACATTTGTGGTTGTGCAATCTGTGTGATGCAATCTATGTTGTGCAATCTACGCAGTCCTGTTTATCGTATGAGCGAGCATAAGCGCGCCGCGGGTATTTTCTCGTGCAAGGTACGTGGTGCAATCCAAAGGCGGCGATGGGTGGCGACGAGAATGCGACGGGACGGCGACGGCCGGCACGGAGCCGCAAGACCACCCACACGGCCCAGGCGACGGGCGGCGACGGGGCGGCGACGGCCGGCACGGAGCTGCCAGACCGGCCAATTGGCCCAGGCGTCGAGCGGCGACGAGGCGGCGATGGGGCGGCGATTGCCGACACGGAGCTGCCAAACTGGCCGACCGGCCCACTTGCTTAGAAGAGTAGTAAGAACCCCTAAGTGCAAGCACTGTTTGGAAAAACCACGACACGGCAATGGGTAGCACGATTATGCAAAGCATAGCATTGAAACGGACAGTAAAGCTAAACGTTGCAGCCTTGCAGACCATTGCATAGCATAGCATGGCAGAGAGAAGCGTGGTATTGCATTGCGTCGGATAGCAAAGCACTGCATTTGGTTGCATAGCGTTGCATGTCTTCGCATTTCGTCTTTTACAGCAGCAGGAAAGGACAAATGGAAGAGACGTTGGGAGAGCATCACACTGTGGCCCGCGAGAAGACTCATCTGCAGGCGTCACTCGAGCGCCTGGAGTTTCAATGTTTGTTTGCTTGCCCCCCTCTGGTGCAGAGCGCGCAGTCAGCTTGTCTCGGCTGGCAGGCTTACGTAACTGCATCACCGTATCCCGAAGACCTCGTCAGCCTTGCTCGTGTTTTGCTGAAGAGTGACCGCACGAAGACGTTTTTTTCTTCCCTTCCGGCCGCTTACACGTGGGAATGGGGCGAGAGCGGCGGCGTTCACAGAAGTCACCGTGCCTCTTACAAGATCCCTTGTCTGACAAGAAGCCTTGTTGGAAGCTTACAAGCAGGGGGCGATCCATGCTAGGAGGCCCCCATGCCTTCTTAGTCGACTGTCCCCCTCGCCCCCCCGACCAAAATCCGCTCAGAGCTGGTCCCAGACCCCCCTTGGGGTTCACCCTGGCTAACGCCCATGATCTTGTTTTCATCGACGACGACGATGTCGTCGTCGTCGTTGTTGTCGTCGTCGTCGTCGTCGTCGCCTGGCCCCCTGCTGCTGGCCACTCCCCCTGCCCTGTCCCTGGTGTGCGCGCCGCGCCCGCTGCAGATCTCTCCTGCCTGCGCGAGGCAGGCCGGAGCCTGCCAGAGATCGGCGGCGAGCCCAGGGGAGGGAAGGCGGTCCATTTTGGCGGTCCGCGCGGATTCCTTGGATCCGCGTTGGGACCCCCTGGCCGCGCCTCTGGCGCCGCCCCTGGCGCGCTCCGCGCTCTAGGGAGGGGGCTCCAACTCAGATCCAACAAATCCGCGCGAACCGTTTTTTGTTCCTCTAGAGAAGGGGCGGTCCTTCTCAGAAGGCTCGGGAGTCCCCCGGCCTTCCGCAAAGTTGGGGAGGAGCAGTTCCCAGGGCTTGAAAAATTACCCCCAACGGCGGGCCTTGTGAAACAACGCTTGCGGTGATCTTGTTGGATACGCCGGAGATCTGGGAAGGTGGGGCAGAGAAGAGGGCCGGTGCCCTGACCCAGCGCAGGACAGTGGCGTCCGCACAATCGTGTTCTGCAACACCGGAGACGCGTGCCTGGCGGCGGCTACTGCTTTCAAGGCGGCCTGGCTCCTCAGCCCTCGTCTCCTCCCCAAAACAGCCTGAAGCCAGTGTGGGCGCTGGGTGGACATCGGTCGATCTCCACCATGTTGGGGAGGCTGCGGCCGACATTCGGGGGAGTGCGCCGACTTCGGCCAGATTTTGGGCCACAGCGAGGCCTGAACACACTCAGATCCGCCGCCTTCGCGACACCGAACGCCGCCGAGGTCGAGCAGTTCTTTCCGCGCGCGTGCACAACCAACTGGAAGCGCCTTCGCTCTCCCGACCGCCGCCGACGTCGAACACGTCCATGCAGGACCGACTATGACCCCACAAGGTCTCTTCCTCCTTGTCCGCCTCCCCGATTTGATGAGACGAACCCTGGAGGCAGGAGGTGCACCGATGTTTTCCAGATCGCTACGCGCATGCCACGTCGTGAAGGCCCCACAGAGTGCCAGCGGACTCAGCTTTCGATTCTGGTCGGAGTGCACGAGGCCTCAGGTGAGAAGTTTTGCTGTCGCCCCAGGTCCTGACCCCTGGAGGCCCCCAGAGGCCTCCAGAGGTTATCGGAGGCTTGTTGGAGGCTCTTGAGGGACCCAAGACACATTCAGCTGAAAGCTTGCCGACAGCGTGCCAGGACCTCGCCCCGCGCTCTTCAAGGGCCGAGGGCAGAGCTGAGCGGCCTCAGGTGTCACACTCCCCCCCCCCCCTCCCTCCCCCTCGCGTGCCTGGCGGCAGGGATCGCCTTCGAGGCCGCGGGGAGGAGCAGGAGGAGGACGAGGAGGAGGAGGAGGTCAAAGCGTGCGCGCCCAGAGCAGCCGCGGCCCGGAGGGTGCGTCGGCCCGCGAGGCCGGCGGAGGAGCGCCAGAGGGCCCAGCCCTCAAAAAAGGCACGGGCGAGAGGCGTCGGAGCCAACAAAGGGGGTGGTCAGGCCAGACGGTTGGGCCCGTGCACGGGCGGGGCGTGTGCAGCAGCAATACCACGGCTGAAAGAAACAAGTTTGCACCACCTGGGCGGCACGACAACTGATGATGATTCGACCTCCCCGCCCCCGACCTTCACATTGAGAGCGGACGCGCCGCTGAAATGGGATGCATCTTTTTTTGTTCGAAGGCCCCGGGAGATGTCACAACTATCAAACTGAAAGTCGGGGGCGCGGGGGAGCAGCAGTGCCATCAGATTCGCAGCTCAACCTGAAATGGTGCAAACAATTTTCTTTCAACAGCATTAAGTCGGGCACGTCCCTCTACAGGAGGATGTCGAAAAATAGTCAAAGAAAATAGTCTGTGGACGATGTTTTTCGACTACTAGTTTTGGCTACTTGAGCGTCTTGCTTTGGCTGTTTTTGCGATCTGTCGTCCAAAATCCGCCTGTAGGAGGACATGCCCGACCTAACAGTACCACGTGCGTGCGCGCGGGGTGTCGGCGTGCGCAAACGTGGGCAGACGCTGGTGGTCTGATGCACAGCGTCAAGAGCAGCCAAAGAGAAAACAATGCAGAATTGTAGAGGTCGCGGCCCGTGCAGACAAGGCGCTGAAATGAGGACCACTTTGGCATAGGCGGTGCTCCGGCTGTCAGGCCGCTCCTTCGATCCAGGTAGGGGAACCGATTCGTGGCCGAGGCTCGCCGTGGCCAGAAACAGCCCCTTCGTTCCTTACTTAGGGTCATGGGGCAGCCGATGTGTCGTCTGCAACCGATACGTCGTCTGCAGCCGGTGTTTCGTCTGCAGCCGATGTGTCGTAGAGACAGGGCGTTTCAGTTCATGTGTCGTAGAGACACGGCGCTTCAGTTCAGTGCAGTTCAGCCAAACCGAACCACCAGGATATGGGCAACTTGCCGAGGGCACCCTTGCTTCCATCCTGACCCTTCCTTAGCCACGGGCCATGGGCTGCCAACTTCGGCCTCAGCTTTGGCGTCTGTGGGCCCTGCGTCCTTCCCGCGCGTCCTTCTCGATCGGGTCGCGCTGTACGCAGCGAGCCGCCGCTGGATCCTCCGAAATTCTTGCGGGCACATGCGGAGAGCACCCTGCACCCTCTCCGTTCTATCCTCTCCTTTCTGTCTCTCGTCATAGGAGGAGGAGGAGGAGGAGGAGGAGGAGGAGGAGGAGAGGAGGAGGAGGAGGAGGACGAGGAGGACGAGGAGGACGAGGAGGAGGAGGAGGAGGCAAGGAAGCAAGGAGGCAAGGAGGCAAGGAGGAGAGAGAGAAGGAGGAGGAGGAGGAGGAGGAGGAGGAGGAGGAGGAGGAGGAGGAGGGAGGAGGAGGAGGAGGAGGAGGAGGAGGAGAGGAGGAGGAGGAGGAGGAGGAGGAGGAGGAGGAGGAGGAGGAGGAGGAGGAGGAGGAGAAGAGGAGGAGGAGGAGGCAAGGAAAAGCAAGCAAAGAAGCAAGTAAGCAAGGGCGCAAGGAAGCAAGGAGAGGAGAAGGAGGCGGAGGAGGAGGAGGGGAGAGGAGGAGGGAGGAGGAGGAGGAGGAGGAGGAGGAGGAGGAGGAGGAGGAGTCCGGTCGCACTGCAGCACGATGACTGCAGAGGTCGAAAGCTTTCCTCTTGAAGCCGCCTAGCCAGCTCTGGAGCAGCCCGCCGGCAGTCGGGGCGACCGCACCGCCACACGGGGCCACATCAGGCCGCCTGGGGGCCGCCACCGCTGCCGTTGCCCGGTCGGAGTCGGGTGGGCGCGCGAGGGGTGCCTCCTCCTCCTCCTCCTCCTCCTCCTCCTCCTCCTCGTCCTCCATTCCTTTTCCTCCCTCCTCCTCCTCCTCTTCTCCTCCTCCTCCTCGCCTTCTCCTCCTTCTCCTCCTCCTCCTCCTCCTCGTCCTCCTCCTCCTCCTCCTCCTCATCCTCCCCCCCTTCCTCCTCACATGTAGCTTACACATCTAAGTACATACTCGTCGTCGCACTACCAGCTGTGCCGACAGGGCGGGCGGGGCATGTCGCCTGAGGCCATCCTCACCGCTTGTACTCCTAGACATTAAGATTTCCAGCGGCTACACAAACGGAGAGCGTCGGGTTTACAACATGTAATTCTCGCCTTAGCGCCGCTCGTCTCCGTCCTGAAAGCCTCCAAAAGCTACAAGGGTCGAGGATGGCTTGTTTTCAACATTGGCCTCTCGCCTTAGCGCTGCGCGCCTTCGTCTTGAAACCTCGCAAGAGCTACAAGGATGGAGGGCGGCTTCTGTTTAGAATGGGGCTTTCGCTTTCGACTCGTCCGAAGTTTGAACATCTCTCCCATACGTGCAATCTTGCGCAACAGCTACACAGATGTAGGGCGGATCATTTCCAGAAAGGTGTTCCCGCTGGAGGTGTCCTCGGAGCGTACGACCAGCAGCGAAACACATGGACCAGTTATAACGGAAGGCGGTTTCTTTCCAAAACGGGGGTCTCGTTTGGGAGGAGGAGGAGGAGGAGGAGGAGGAGGAGGAGGAAGGAGGAGGAGAAGAAATGAAGAAGAGGAGGAGACGGAGTGGGAGAGAGAGGAGGAGGATGAGGAGGAGGAGGAGGAGGAGGAGGAGGAGGAGGAGAGGAGGAGGACGAGAGGAGGAGGAGGAGGAGGAGGAGGAGGAGGAGGAGGAGGAGGAGGAGGAGTAGGAGGACGAGGAAGACGAGGAGGCCAGGATTGGACTTTCTGATTCCACCTTCTCGCATCCCTTACATGGATGCAGGGCGGCTCCACTTCACAGCGGGTAGCTCGCTTGAGTGGCAGGCCCCGGGGGCGCTCGATGCTTTAAGGGGTGATTTCCCGGAGTTGTAGCGAATCGCTGCAGCGCCTTGTGAAAAGGGGTCTCAGAGTGGGAGTGCGTATCTCGGAGGAGGAAAAGCTACCCATACCCCTACCTTTCGCCCGTTTTCCCATTTTTGGGCCTCCTCGGAGGTCCTCGTCGCCACCGTTGGATTCGCCTCGAAGTTCTGGTCAGAACGCACCCCAGGAAAGATCCGTGGAGTAGCGGCATCGGTATCGGTACTCTTTGGCTTCCCCAGTATCGCAGTATCGTTGATGCGTCCTGGGTTTTCGCTGGTCATCTTCCACCTTTGCCTCATTGCCTCAGGGATTTCAGCCCCTGGAGTCGGAGGTGAACAGGCAAGCGAAAACACAATCGGAGGCGCGGGTGTTTGTTCATCCTCGAGGGTTCGGATAATTTGTGACACCCTCTGTTTTTGTCCACCCACGTTGTTCTCTGCCCACGGGACTCAGAACCTCTGGCATGGAGGCATGTTTTTCTGTGCGTTTTTCTTGTTGTGGCGAAGGGGGCGGGGGGCGGGACGGGCCTCAGGGCAAAGTCTGCGCACCTTTCCCTGGGCCGTGGGGAATCAAGGGGCGGCACAAGGGGCGGCTCGTCTACCCGGGGGGGCAGTCGCGTCGCTATACTTCAAGGGTGCCCCTATTTGTTTGCATGCGCGTCGCGCTGCTTGCTTTGAGTCGGGCATGTCCCTCTACAGGAGGACTGTTCGTAGTCTAGAGACGATGTTTCTATGTATTATTCTCGGCTACTCCTGACTGTGTTTGAATATCTTCTGGCTATTTTTATTTGTCGCCAAAAAATCCACCTGGAGGGGGACATGCCCGACCTGATACTTACCTGCCAAACCCCTCGTGCTCAAGTGTTTGGCGACCTCCCCCCGCGCGCTGGCCTTTCTGGTCCGAGCGCGCCCCTCCCTTTCCCCCTCCCTCGCGCCCCGCCCTCTTCGCCTTATAGTGTCCCGAGTCGCTCCCGATGCATCCCCACCGCTTGTTGACCGGCGTCCGACTGTCCTTGACCATTTAGCGCCCGTGGACTTGAAAACGATTCAGAAGTTCGACCCCCTCCTTCCTCACCTGCACCCTCTTCCTTTCCTCCCCATCATCATCCCCCTAGAACACCGGCTGCGAGCCACTCTATTCTCCGCCCGGGCTCGTTAGCATAATCTTCGCGCCGGCCACAGAGGCAGAGGGCATCGAGACTGCACAAGTACATCAGTGGCTGGACTTCGACGAGAGGAGCGGCTTTGTGGGCGCGTGGGGGCGAGGGGGAGGAGGAGGAGGAGGAGGAGGAGGAGGAGGAGGAGGAGGAGGAGGAGGAGGAGGAGGAGGAGGAGAGAGGTGCCAGAGGCGATAGGTGCGGAGGGAGAGGAGGGTGCCACTTCTGGGGGAGGGGGGCGGAGAGACGGCGCACCGCCGGACGCGGGGCGGGCAGGGAACCGAGCAGAGGAAGCCACGGAGCGACAGGGCAACGGCCTCGGTGCCTGGCGCAGAAGGGGCGACCAAGGCAGCGGTCCGCGAGCCGGGCCAGGCCCCGCCTGCGCTCGGGGGACGAAGAGCGCCCAGGAGCAGCAGGAGGAGGAGCAGACAGAGGATCAGGGTGGAGGCAGATTATTGAGAGGAGGAAGAAGAAGAAGGAGGAGGAGGAGCATCAGCAAAGAAGAGGAGGCGGGGGAGGAGGAGGAGGAGGAGGAGGAGGAGGAGGAGGAGGAGGAGGATGTTTTTGTTAGCTTGAGCCACAGACCAGAGTTTCTCTCCTTCTCTCCTCTCAGCTTGCGTCTGTCACATAGCATATTGTACATCCGCTGCTGTTTCGGAACAGGGGATATGGTGAGAGCGCGGGGCGCCTGATAAACCCTGCACCTTCTGATCATGTCGGCCAGTGGGAAGCCTTGGCTTTCCCAGAGGAGGAGGAGGAGGAGGAGGAGGAGGAGGAGGAGGAGGAGGAGGAAGAAGAGAATAGGAAATCCCGCTCATTTTTTCTCGCACGCCGACTGCATTAGACGGGGGAACAGCTTGCAGCAGGAAGCTGCTGGGGGTCTTCTCTGCAGAAGTGAGAGAATGCTGGCCGCGCCGGCTAGGCTGGTGGGGCTAGCAAGGGACCTTGCGGCTCAGAATATGATCTGGGGTGGACGTGGGGCACGTGGCTTAGAATTGCTCGGAGAAGCGGAGTTCTGGCGACATGAAGGCCGTCGGGTGCGCGACGGCTGCATCCTCCGACTCGGAATCGCACTTGGGAGTGGAGTTCTAGCAGCACGGCGGCCCCTAGTAGAGGGACTTCAACATGCGACTCGACAGGATCCCTGGGATCGGATCTCTTGCAACCCGAAGGACGCGTAGAGCGACAGTTTTCCTGTTGGGGGGTCAGAAACGCTCACGGAGTCGAGTTTGGGCGGGTCCAAGGCCACCAGGAACGATCGATGCAGCTTGCGTTCAGCATTGTGCCAGGCAGGCGAGTTCTGGCAAACCGAAGGCCAGTGGGGGCGATGCAGATCTTGCAACTCAGAGTCGCACTGAAGAGTCGTGCTCTGGCAACACGAATGCCAGTGGCGTGAGGGCTGCCAGCTGCGACTCGGAGTCGCACGCGGGAGTCGAGTTTGGACAGCCCGAAGGTCCATGGGAGCAAAAGGGCTGCAGGCCCAGGTAGGGAAACATTTCTAGGACCACCCCTTTCATCCTTGTCCAGCAGGTCAGCTGTATATATCCCCAACGTCGACTCCACACACACACATGAATAAGCAATCCTTGATGTCAGGAAATAGCCCCGTATGCTGAAGTATATCTGGGACGCAACAGTCAGAACAGCATTACAATTACAATAACCATGTGAACAGCAATAAGATCAACACCAACACAAAATCATGAGCAGAAGCGGCGACATGAGCAGCAGCCACATCAGCGGCAACCTCATCAGCAAAATAGTGTCAAACAAGTTTACAACCACATATAGCAAACTCATCAGCAAAGTAGCAGCACGGATCATAACAGCATTACAACCATATAAACTGCAACGACATCATGAGCAGTAACCACATCAGCAAAGCCGGCATATATTTCAGATAACGCAATTTTTTGACCAGATAAGAACCCGTTTGGCTAAATAATGAATTCCAGCCCACCAGGGAAGCGCCATCCTCGTGAAGGCCGCCACTTTGCGAGGGACAGTGCGCCCAGCCCACAGCTGGCGCGCAGAGCCGGCAGAGCCCTCCAGCCCACCGGGGGTGGGGGCGCCATCCCTGTGATGGTGGCTTCTGTTCGGCGGCCAGGGCGGCCAGCCCACAATTGGCCCCGGCAGTGGCCTCCGCCCCACCGGGAGGGGCGCCATCCTTGTGAGGGCCGCAGGTTTCCAACGGCCAACGCACCTGGCCCACAATTGGCCCACAAGGCCGGCGGAGGCTTCCGGCGCACCAGGGGGGGCGCCATCCTTGTGAGGGTCGCTTTTTCTCGAAGGCCAAAGCGAAGGCCAAAGCGCCCGGCCCACAATTGGCCCACACAGAGCCTGCAAAGGCCTCCGCCCCACCGGGAGGGGCGCCATCTGTGAGGGTCGCCACTTTTCGATGGGCAGGGCGCCCGGTCCACAGCTGGCCCACAAGCGGGCAGAGGCCTCTGGCTTACCGGGACGGGCGCCGTCCGTGATAGCCACTTTTCGAAGGACAGGGCGCCTGGCCCACAGCTGGCCCACAGAGCGGGCAGAGGCCTCTGGCCCACCAAGCCCAGGCCCCCGACGTCGTGTTTTTTTCGCAGCCTCGACCCCCAGAGGTCTGGGCTCCTTCCAGGGACCGACTGTTCATCCTGAGTCGTTTTTTGACGCTCCCGAGGCCTGGTAGGGGCCCCCAGAGGCCGAAAAATGAGGAGAAGTCTCCCGTCGTGATTTTTGGTCATGGCTCGAGGGGGTCTGGGAGAGGGGCGCCATCCTTGTGAGAGTCGCGACGCTTCGACGGCCAAGGCGCCCGTCCGACAACTGGCCGGCAGAGCCCCCCAGCCCCATCGGGAGGAGCGCCACCCCTGTGAGGGTCACCATTTTTCGAAGAACAGGGCACGTTCAAACCAGCGGCAACCTCATCAGCAAAATCCCAGACCTCCCAAGTCACAAGACACTCACGACGAAGGTTCGGCCATTTTCGGCCTCCGGAGGCCCTCGCCGACCCTCGGGAGCGTCACAACACGACTCGGGATGGAAAGCCGGTCCCGGGGAAGGCCTCCAGACCTCCAAGGGCCGAAGGCATGAGCTTCTCCTGACGTCGGATATTTGGGGTGGTGTCGCCACTGTTCGAGGGACAGGGCGCAACCTCATCCGCGGCAACGTCATCATCAAAATAGCAACAGCAGTAAAAACAGCAACGCTGTAACCACATCAACAGAAACGACGACACGAGCAGCAACAGCATCAGCAATGTTGGCTGAGGTCTCGGATAACGCAGGTACTTTTGCCAAGTAAGACCCCCTTGTGTTAAAGCATACTTGAGAAGTACAGCTTCCTCGCGATTCCATGGGCGAAAGAATGCTATGTTCGAGAATTGTTCAGAACGCGCGCGAGCTAAAAAAGGATGCGGTGCCCCTTGGGCCTCAAAGCTGCCTGGACGCGAAGACGTCTCGTGAGATTGGTTTTAAAATTGAGAATGTGACTGCGATCGCTGCGCTCATAGGCGGAGTCGTCAAGAGCTCCCTGGACGATCATAGACAGCGCAGGAAGGATGTTTGGTGGATACTTGTATGTACACTGAGATTTTATGTGTATATATATATATATATACACAGCTATGCCTCACCAGAGCAGCAAGCACCTGCGGCTCAGAAGGATTGTCACAATACGCTCATACGAGTGACCTGCGAATGGATGGCGCGTTCGCACACCGCGTGCATGGGCAGCGTGTGACCCTCATCGTCCTCGCTGCTGGCCGATCCCGCCTATGCTCCAGGCTCGCCATTATTACTGGCCGTCGCGGGTTGCCACGCGCGTTGCCGAGCGCGCGACCCAGTTACATGATTGGCGTTTCGTGGTGATCTCTTACACCAAACAAGTTACACACGTTTCACGTCTCTCCCAGCTCTTCTCCTCCTTGTTGCCCATTTCCCCCGAGTAGCAACGGTAAGGATTAAGAGTCAGCTATAGTCAGCTCGTATCGGCCAAGTCTTTGTACTGGCCTTCGCACTTGTCGGGCGCGCTTCGCATGAGTATTAAGCACAGTACGAAGGTGTCCAACATGTGTTGGTTGCTGTGTGTGCTGGGCTCCTTTGCTCCTCTCCTTCTCTCCCGTATGTCTTCCTGTCGTTTGCTTCTCCCACTTCATGTCTGGCCGATTGGCATCCTGTGCGCGTCGCTTCCTGCACGTCGTTATGTTTCAAATGTCGACACTTGTCTGGCCGCTCGACGCTCACTGTGGTTTCTTACATCATGGCGTGTGTTTGCTTGGGATTTTTTTTCACGTCGCAGGATGCTGTGTTCGCATGGTCCCGTGAAGCGTCGCCTTGCTTTTGACAGGCTGGCGCAGCGTGGATCGGAGATGCGGGCGCGCGTGGCGCGACCGCGGGTCCCCAGGTTCGAAGCAATAGGGGCGCACCGAAACAATGCGAGCACAAGCGTTTCGTGCAGGACTTTCTGGCAAGGCTTCTTTGGAGCCTGTTCCGAAAAAAGGTTCGACGCACAACGACTCGCGGGGAACGTCATGTTAAAATTGGGTATGTTCGTGTTGGGTCGACACCACGTGTGTTTCGGCAATACGCTTGAGGGAAACAGTAAGCGACATTCCCCCCTGCACCCGCAATTCAACGTTGGCACGCATACGCATCACTGGTCCGACACTCCAACTCGGGAGATCCGAGCCCAACATTGCATTCGGGGGGAGGGGGGGAGAGGGCACACCATATGTTACGCGTGAGTGTTGCTTAATTGTTTCCGACGCCTGTGTTGCGCCAGATTGTAATTACCATGCCAATACGGTGCTCGGTGTGTCTACAGTTGCCGTGGTGCGCGCTTCGCTGCGGATAAAGTGGGCGGGGTGTGGTCGTTCGGAGGGCGCCAGTTGTGAGCTACACTCAAGTCGGGCATGTCCCTCTACAGATAGAAAATTCAAGAATAGTAAACAAAGTGGTCTAGTGACGATGTTTCGTGCTCGTTGGGCTATGCTTGATTATTGTTCGACTGTTGCTAACCTATCACTGTACCGATCTTCGCTAGGCCTACCCTGGGCCCAGGAGCATACCGATCCTAAGCCCAAGGTGGGCGCGGCCAGGATCGC